GGAAGAATTTAAAGCCGTCGATGTGATTGTTACAAGAGAACCTTAAAGATCGCAATTAGAGAATTTTTGAGATTGGCATGCGTAAATCTGAGAGATCAAAGTGATTCCTCACTATCCATAATCAGTGTTCGCGATCTTGGAATCCACGCGCTTCAGTTAACAAGGTAGCCCTTATGACCGAGCGGCTAGCCTCATGCAACTTGCACATAACGGCTTCTGTTGGAGCTTCTGGAAAGCCTTGCTGTCATGACTACCTGCGAAGGGACTGCATCTAAGTTCACTACGGCAATCGGAAGAGTTATGACCGAACTTATCGCACTTGAAGCATCGCACGATCCGGGCATTCCACCCAACGTATGCACGGCGGCTAGCCAAAAGACGCTTGCGTATACGGCACTTTCGCACTCAAATATCCGGTGACACGTAGGTACTCCTTTCGCGTCTCCATGAAGACAGAGGAATGGAACGGAGCTTCTCCACGAGGAGATAGGACGCTATAGTATCGTGGAAGGTTTGAGGCTTGTGCTTCTAGAAATGGAAAACAACTTCCAATGCACTTACGCACCTTTTTTGGAAAATAAAATATTTTTTTAGCCAGTTGCGTAGTTTACTTTGTCCAACTTTTATTATTATTGAAAACCATTGCCAATTTCTTTTAAATTGTGAATCTTGACTCATTGAACTGCGAACAGGGGTTAACCTAATTTTGTTCATTCATCTCAATAATTTATAAGGAAGTCGTGTTTTCCTTTATGAACCAATCGTTTTCCTGCACATCTCCAAATTCACAACTTGATCGTCAATAGGTTTTCCTCTAATAAGGCAAATTTCTACAAAAGCCTGATGAAAGCAATTTCCCCTTTTCCATAGTAGCAAAGCAAATTTGCAAATGATTAGAACGTTGGCCTATAATCAATGCACTGTTTTATTGTATTAGACAATAAAAATGGACTAAAAATACCTTTCGCTGAAACTTTCTCCTTTTGTAATACACAAAGTCGTTCGTTTACTGTGAATTGATTTGTTAATAAATTCACTCGTAATATGACGGTATTCAATTTTGTATAGTTATTTTACCCTACTATCTCCCCAACACTTCAACTTCAACCGACGTACTAACTTAAACGTGAACCCTTTAAGAATAAACTACAATAAGTTAACATAGTCAGCACATTACATGAATAGATCGTTCGCCTGCATGGATCTCTCATAAAATATTCATGACACTCCATTTTGTTATGGTCGTAAGCAGTTTCAGTATTTTAGACAATTTGCAAGTATACAACTCTGATCACGCGTTGACTTTCGGCAGGGATTCGTGTTTTGTAAACGTAACAGCCATGGCGCTTGCATCTTAAACCGACGATGTAACCGAAATTGTCTCGGCTGATTTGTGTAATATGTGTAGGGAAATCTGCGACCGTTCTTGATATTGTAATAAGGTTTTGTAACAAGCACCAAACTGGGAATTGGTAATCTATGTAAAAGCAAGCAGTAGGTCTGATGGTAACAGCCTGGGCGACCCTACTGTGATAGGCGAAAACCGCGTGAATATGGAATGAGTCCTGCATGAAAACGGCCTACTGAATTTGACATTAATTTTGTGTTCCGTATAGATATGTTTGGAAACGTTTTGATATTCCCAAATTTACCGTTTGACTAGTGCAAATGATAGTAGTATTGCACTTTCATCCCTTTATTAAACTGTTTGAATATAAACGGAACATTTGCAAATTAGTTTAATGAAAACGATTGATAACAAAATAAGCTAATTTCGACCGTTAGCAGTGGGATGGATACAAACCTCATTGGCCACGTTCCATGTATTCCCATTATATTCACAGCTCCACCCCCTACAAAGGGCTTACTTCCATAATCGTTCGGTGATTAATGTTATTGTGGCAGGTAATTATTTGCATTCATGTATTTATGACGGTCGGAACTGCTATTAAGGTTAGGTAGTGTGCGAACTACACTGTATAATTTTATTACTCAATCACTAATGAATTTCTTAGGTAGCAGATGAAAAATAGCCAATCGCCGGTCATTACAATATTTTGTGTTTCGGAACTATGAAAATGATCTTATTTTTGACAAAATGGATCCCATTTCCATTTATACTCTTCATTGAGCAGTGAAAACTATTCTTCTTCTTCACAGAAAACATTTCCGAATAAAATATACACACATTTCCTACAGAGCAGCAAGTTTTCAGTTTCCTTCCAAGAAAATGAAAACTGTATTTTTCCGCAATCTAATGAAAATCCACCCTTGATTCTAAAAAGCACCACGAAAATTGCGCCAAAGTGTATAATATAAAAAATTAAGCGACCTCGCGAAAATCTCAGGAGATCGGTTACTTCTGACACGGACGCGCACGACGATGATTTTATAGCCAAGACGTTGTAGCAGATGGCGTATATACTTTATCCTTTATTTCAAACTATCCCTACTTAGAAACGCTGAGAGGGAAAGTTATTTTTTCTCTTTACTACCGCAACTTCAAGAGTTAATAATTTTGTTTTTGTTCCAGGTAAGACTATTGTGCAGGATTACGTAAGTATCTATCAGTTAGTATTAGTTGGAACGTTTTTGCTGTAATTATTCGCTTACCGTGAACAAAATCTGTAATTAAAGGCGCTCATGTGTAAGAAGATTTATTGAAAATTAAATTGTTGTTGAACGCGCCTTGGAAGTTTAAATTTCGAAATCAATGAGACGCTTCCTTTTATGCTGTCTCTGAACGTAAATCAAAATTTGGCAAAATTTGCTATTTTACTCTAATTATTCCGATAAATGATGCCTTCTTTATAGTCAACGCAATAATCAAACACTATATAATGCAATTACATTTTACTATGATTTACGACAAAACGATGAATAATAATATCAATAGTGAGTTTCAAGATCGAATTTCTCTTTGCCATTTTTCCGACTATACGCTATTTTGCTATATTAGCAGTAGCAGATGGGAAACTCGATGGAAAGCTCCACAAGGAATGACGAATGGTAAATTATGAAGTACGGGTGACATATTCGTATTTCTAGAAATTGTTTCGCTAACTGTATGTACACTATTAGAGTTCCATTTGTTAACAATGTACTAAAG